ATGGTTTTGATGGATTTTGGGTGTTTTTCACACCTTTTTCAAAATCATGCAATAATTATAAAATAGTTCATAGTTATGATTGATTTATAATAAATGTTTGAACACTAATTTGTCTTGTGTTACTTTTTATTGAATATTAATTCATATTAATAATTATTTGAGGTTATTTGAAATTTTGTTTGGGATTTTATGTCATGCGGATATAATACTGATTGTATTAATCTATGTGTTGTATATTCCTTGGTTGAATATAATTGTTGAACACTTGCGGTCAATGTATGTGATTACGTGTTGTGGAAAGTGGGCTGTTAAAGGAGTGTTATGTGTTATAAAATGTATAGTTTTGAAATAATGTCACAACACTAAAGATGTAGTCATGTTAAGTGACTGTTACAGAAGTGTATGAGTATCTATAAAAGCTATAATATAAACTATTCGACATTACTGATTGTAGAATAATAGTAACATCTATACTGCACCTCTTCCTGAAAGCTATCTATTCATTTACCAGCCATAAAAAATGTATTTCAAATCAGCTGTTTATCTGGTTTAAAAGTTTTCCTTGTCCTGTGATATAAGATTGAAAAAGGCTACCCAATTTGATATCATTATATGGCGACTAAAAGTCTTTGTTACGATAAAAGAGTCAATACAATCTTGCCTCTTGTTTTCTTGAGCTGTGATACCGCCATCTCATGGGACACACCCACCAGACTCTGACCATTAACCGCGATGATCTGATCTCCTCTCTTGAGCTGCCCGTCACGAGCTGCAGCACCAGTAGGGAAGACAGTTTTGACGTATATTGGTAAGTCTCCATGAGGGCTGCCATGACCTCCTACTATACTAAAACCTAGGCCTTCAGGTCCTCGCTCAAGCTCGATGATTTTTGTCTTTGGAGGTCTGGGGAAGAGATACGAGTACCCATTATAAAGGTATGGTAAGTCTACTACTAAGGTCCCATTTAGATTAGGGTAGGGTAAGTCTACTATTAAGGCTAACTGTTTTGGCCTCTCTCCATAGCACAGGGTCACTATATCTTCATGTAAAGGGGCGTTAGATTTAAAATATCATATTTTGAGCAAGTATGGTAGACACTTGCACTCATAAAACATGGCTGTGGGGCACTATATTGTCACTACTTACATTGACTCTTCATCCTCCGACTGGGTTGGCTCTGTCTCCAATACAGCAGACGATGTTGGAGATGAACTGAGAGGAGGGAGACTGGGTGCCGATGACAGATCAGTAAGAGCTCGTCCAGGTACAGGATCTGGCATCAAGTCAATGTCTGAATGTAGTCAAAATAGATATAAGAACAATAAAAGATGATGATGGTGATGAAATGGATGACAGTAATGATGATGATGATGATGATGATGATGGTACTGATGATGGTAATGATGATAATGATGATGATGGTA